CTTTACAAAATTAGCGTAAGACCGTGCCTCGCGCATGTAGCTAATACCTTTACAAAATTAGCATAAGGCCATGCTCCGTGCATACAGCTAATACCCTAAAAAATTAGCATAAGGCCATGATCATCGCATGCATCTAATACCTTAACAAATTAGCGTAAGGCCGTGCTCCGCGCATGCAACTAACACTCAACCAATAGAACCAAGCACATGACCTCAAATAGCAACAGGTCGGGCATAGATGCACCGACCTCATCGATCCCAAAATGATCACCCAACCAAGAAAGTTGAGATCGAGATCAGAGGCATGATATAACTGATCCACATGTAACCAAGCCCGACCTTACCCTCAAAAAGAATAAGCAACCCATTGGTCGCACCTCGATATAGAGTGATGTTTAAATTACAAGGGACAAGCCCGACCTTTCTTTTAATTCATCATCGACCCATTGGTCACCCTTCGACATAAACAAATTGAAAAATCAGTACCAAACACTAGTACACGAACTAGTTGAACCCAAACACAACAATACACCTTCGAACTTAGAAATTGACACCCCACAATCAGTGTTGTTAAAAGGATCGATATATCCATAGTTTCAACGATAAGTATTGTTAAGATATGCCATACCCTAGAACTCTTTCATACACCCGGGCTATAGACGTCAACATTTGAGCTAATTGGTTGCGACAAGTGATCTATACTAACTATCAAACTCTTTAACAATTGTAACAACTCGAATTCAAAATCATGGTGTTCACCCACGAACACAAACGCACGATCTCATAGCAAAAAATAAAATGCATGAACTGATAACAAAAGCCTAGTTCGGGCAATATACATGGCAAAAAATCAAATTCATCAACCCAGGTTGGACAAAGTACATCAGCAAAAAGAAAAGTTACAAAAATGTCCATCTTGGGGTCGGGAGATAGCCTAATCGAGATCGATAGGGTCATTCCCGCCTCCATGGTCAGGGGTCCCAACATCATCGTCATCGTCATCATCATCACCATCACCATCGGCCTCTGAGAAAGAAAGCTCGAGATCCTTGGCGAGCTCGTTCACAGTTTTCAGCTCCTCGACCACGGGGCTTCAACTCCTCAGGGAGCTTGGTCCGGAGGAATGAGCGAGCTAGTGGAAGCCCGTAGTAGTACGAGCCAGACCCCGTACTGGCCCAGAAGAGTCCTGAACTCGTCGACTGCTTGAACTCCTCGATGGCCTGAGTTCTAGCCTCTGCCCAAGTTTTCACAAGCTTCTCCTCAAAAGCACTCCGAGATTGGATGAACTCGAGCTTAGCCTCCTCGGCCTCTTCCCTTGCTATCCCAACCTTGTTCTTGGCCTTCTTCAGGTCCTCGTTGGCCATGCCCAGGGCCCTTTCGAGCTCCTGGGCCCTCTTGCAAGTCGTCTCGCTCTTGGCCTCGAGCTCGACTATCTGCGTCGAGGAACTCAAGCCTCGAGCTACGCTTAGTGTCTGTAAAAATGAGTTATACCCAAAGTCAGATCAAGGACAAAAACTTACAACAATAGAGGCAACCATATTAAAAGCTAACCTTCAGGGTAAGGAGCTCGAGGGTCTGAACTCCCTCATTAAAGTCGACCTTCTTCTCATACTTCTCGACAATGCCTTGGATAAGAGCACACTCAGCGTACTCCTCGAGCGACTTAGTGGGCATCAGATCATCGTTGTCAGTAAGGAGGTTCAACCCATAACAGGGAGTACGAGCCCGAGCTGGCTGATGAGGCACGGGCTTGCTTGGAGGGGTCAAGCTTTTTGAGCTCTGCCCCATGCTGATCGGGGTTGGTCGAGCAGTCTCCCGTGCCCTTTTTCCCTTTGGACGGGGCATTTGTCGGGGTTTTGGACTTCAGGCCCTTTGCCCTCTGATGCACATTATCCAGGAGTGCAGATGGATCGAAAGGCATTTCAAGTTCTGCAAACAGCAATAACAAGACATTAGCTCAAACTATAGATCGATGCTCAGGCAAGATATCGCAACATTACACAAATAATAATAATAATAATAATTTAAAAAATCATACCCCGAGGCCTTTCACGTTGGCAAGGTCAAGGGTGTCATCCTCGAGTAGATAGTCGATCTTCTCTACCAAAGGATCGTGATTCACTAACCTCAGCTTATCTCTCTCTAAAACCTCAAAATAGTCCTGACCTTTGTTAAACCTATCCTTATCAGGAATTTTTCACTTCGGGCTAAAAGGATGATCGGGGTCCTGAGGCCTCACAAAAAAAGAATCTTTCCTTCCAACCCCGAAGTGAGCTCGGTGTTTCAGGCATTCTAAACCCCCCCTGGTTGATAAATAAAAGAAACAATTGTACCCCGGGGAGAATTTCATATCATAGACCATTCGTAAGAGATCGAGTCTAGGTTCAATCTCGAGACACCTACATAATATAAAGAAATATACCGGTAACCTCCAATCGTTCGAGGCTAGTTGGACAGGGCATAAATAATACGAGGTCAGGAAATGGATGAAGAATGGGTGAAGGGGCCACCTAAGCCCGGCCTTAAGAGCATCTCTAAAAAAGGTCATCTCTCCCTCTCGAGCTCCTAACACGGTCTCAGTAGATCCTGGGGCTCTCACATCACAAATGGGCATAACCCCGAACTCTCTCGCTATCTTAATAATCACATGTTCCTTGTACTTGGTCGGTTCTTTAGGGTAGACCAAGTCGTCAGTATGAGAACTAACAGGAATGGCCATGGGGATCAGGGATGTGCCTATTTCCTCAAGTTTATCACCACGGTTCGAGGTTCTGGATGGGCAGTTACTATCACTCTTACTCAACCCCATACTACTGCTGCTGCTACTCGACGTAATACTAAATCAAATGATTAAAACTTAAAAGACCCGAGCTCTTACCTTTTTTAGATGATCGCTTACCAACCCACTGTCCCTGAACTCGAGCTTTCTTTTACTGGAGAGTGAAATGTGAGTGAAATGTGGTGACTATTTATAGGGGTCTTTGGAAGGTCAACGGTCTATTAATCCTGACCTTTGAACGAAGATACATGGCGGCCATCCAAGATCTTGACCTGACATTGCATGTGGCAGCCATCTGAGGTCGTTCTCTGACATCTCATTGAACACCTGACACGTGGAAAGACGTTTGGACATCTATGCCTTTACATCTTTACTCGTAGATCATGCTTGGAAGGAAAATCTACTACCTCGATGCAAAGGGGCATGTGATGACCCCAGATCTTGTAATCCCGAACTCGATCTTGTATCCCCGACCAACACACCACACACTTCTTAACAATCTATGAGTGCACTAATTCTACTTAATCCACAATCCTCACCCTGTTAGACTCCTTCGACTCAAACAATGTTCGAACACTTGAAATAAAACACTAACTCCTTATCCTATGAAAATAGGGACCGCAAAGGATAAGTCCTTCTAGGACTCCATCATTAACACCTATAAATACGCAACCCGTGCTCATTCTTGAGGTACGTTTTTCATTATTTTCAGTTTATAGCCTCATGCACTAAATTTCCTATTTGACTTAAGTATTAGAGGGGCGACGAGCACACACCTCGTTGCCTTTGTTGCAGGTATCCGAAGGCCGTTCGTGTTCATCAAAGTTCGGAGTTCAATCATCAAGTTCGAAATCTTTCAGATACTATTTTTTGATAGCATCACATACCAACCTTATTTGCTGAATGTGACGATAAGGTCTTCTTCCTTTCATTTGTGGCACCATGATCCTCAATCTATAGAAGTTGTATGCGTGTCATTCCCCGCAGATGAAAATCGTTAATTTGATTGTTAAAATGTCAAAAATTAATGTAATAGTATGTTCATACTCACTTAAACTAAATAAACAAAAATGAAACATTTTAGACTACATATATAATGAGTAATGTTATTCGTAGTAAAAACTATAGTTAGTTGTCCTACGTGGCATATGTGACAATTTGTGATTTGATGTATTAATATGGTAGTTTTTTATTGACTTGTGCATCAAATAACAAACTACCTTGTATATAACACGTAGGGCGATTAGCGATAGTCTTCACTATGAATAACATTACTCGGATATAATAATCATTTCAAATAAAATTTGACTTTTCAACAATCTAATTGATGTTTTCCGTCTCGTAAAGATGATACACGAATATTTTTCATAGATTGGGGACGAGGTCATCATAGTGAGCAAATATTGAAGAGCTCGGCTGAAATTAACTCTAATTAAGGAAGTAGTTGGGATGAAGTGAAACAAATGTAAACCAAACCGCCACAGTTTTGGGGTCGTAATCTCAACCGTTTGCATAACCTCCTTTAGTATTTTGTAGGAAAATCCGTTACCAATTTCATCAGTTACACAATTAATAATATATCATGGTAGTTACAATTTAGACACCAAACCAAAACTGACCAACCAACAATATCAAAGTTGTTTCCCCACACGGTTCGTACACTCCCATACACACACACACATATATATAGAGAGAGAGCGAGAGAGATGAATATATGGTTTACAGTGAGAGAAATGGAGGGGGGTGGTGGTGGTGGTGGAGGAGAAAAAACAAAGGGGTCATGGAGTCCCCAAGAAGATGCTACACTAGTAAAGCTAGTACACGAACACGGGCCACGTAACTGGTCTTTGATAAGTCTCGGGATTCCGGGGCGGTCCGGAAAATCGTGCCGGCTGCGGTGGTGCAACCAGTTGAGCCCGGAGGTGCAGCACCGTCCATTTACGCCATCGGAGGATGCTACCATTTTGCGGGCGCATGCTGTGCATGGTAATAGATGGGCCACTATTGCACGACTCTTGCCTGGGAGGACTGATAATGCTATCAAGAATCATTGGAATTCGACGCTTAGAAGAAAGCGAAATAACCAAAATGATAATAAACGGAGTTGGGATGAATCGGGAACCATGTCGACCGAGCGGGAGTCGGCGTGTAAGAGGAGGCAGTGTTCACATGTGTCGCCGGAGCAGAGTGGTTGTGGTGGGACTGAGGAGACTTCGATTACTTTGACGTTATTGCCCCCAGGGGAGGGTGAGAAAGTGGAGGTGATAAAGGAGGAGGAGGAGGAGGAGGAGGGGAAATCGATGATGGATGTGGAAGAGACTTGTTTGGTGACGATAATGCAGAGGATGATAGCACGTGAAGTTCGAAGTTATATTGACAAATTACGTGGTCAGGGTGGGCTTGGAAGCCCAGAAAGGTCTGTAAATTGATTTTCTGTGTTAATTACTAAGAATGCTTTCTTTTCTTTGATATGAGAAATTGTTATTTTGCGATGGTGAATCAGGTTTTAAACCACGAATCATGTTATACAATTGAGTAATGCTAGTTAGCATGCCCGACAAAATAAGTTCAATTAAATAAAGAAATTGAATCAAATCGAGTTCAATTCTTCACAAGTAGAACTAATTATCGTGTTGCAACATACTGAGTTTACTGATTTCCAGCTTTGAACTGAAAATGTTTTGTGATGTTTTTAATTACGAGAAACAAATTTCTTCCTTTTTAAAATGTTACGCCTTGACTTCGTTTTAAAATGTTAATTTTGTTAAAAGGGTAGCCCAAATCTTTATTAGATAACATGGGATTTTAATTTATGAGAACTATAACTACAATATATATATCACAATGGGTAAGTAAGTGAACATAGATACCTTGACATTTCTGCCATTAATTCAAGAAAATGAAACTCATAAACGGACGAGAGAGAGAGAGGTTATGGGAATGGATATTGGGTAAACTGATCAAAGGAGAAGCAATCCTTGCCTTTGAAGGGCTCTACCATGTCGATCACAGGGCACATATTGGCTCCATCATCCAAACACAAAACAGTCTGATCAACATAATAGGCAAGACGAGCTCTGGAGAGAATCAGATCATGTTGAAGCTCTACAATCTTCTTCTGCAGCGAAGCTATCACCCCGATGCAACCGTAAACGGGGTCACTGAGGCGCACGTCCGCCTCGTAAACAAGCGAATTCACGGCGTCTTCGCGTTGTTCCTGCGGCACCTCGTTTAGGATCTTGCTCACATTGCTTGCTCCAAACACCTTGTGTACCTTCGCGAATTTATTCGACTCATCGGACTGGAAATAGGGTGCAAATTGACAAGTGGGAGTGCACCTTCGCTTCAACAACTTGCAGGCTGCACAGGAAGAGCCTGAACAGAGCTCTCGATGACTCTTCATGCCTCTTCTTAATCAACTCTTCATGCTATTTCACACTTTATATATTTGTTTTTGCTAAACGTATAAATGTTTGGTTAGGCCTAAAAATAAGCAAACTGACTTTTTTAAGAAATATGGGAGAGAATCTAAAATTTAAAAAATTAAAGTAACTTTCGAAGAAAAGCCTGATATGTTTGTAGGAGAATGCTACGAGTATATATGGTTAGACTTATAAAAGTTACTTTTAGCAAATTTAGTCACTATTTGTATAGTAGTATCATTAACTTAAAGTTACTTCTACTTCACAGTCAAAATCAGACTTATAAAGTTATTTTTAGCAAATTTAGTCACTATTTGTATAGTAGTATTATTAACTTAAAGTTACTTCTACTTCATAGTCAAAATCAACAACGAATTCAAAATTGTTGTTCGTTATTATCCACATATTTCATGGTCTCACCACTATTTCTCCTAAAAAGTTACAAACAATTGCTAGAACAAGAGGCTTACTTCCATTTTGGACATGGCCAAATGTTCTCAGTGGTAAATATTTTGGAGAATCAAGTTAATAAACGAGCCTATAGTATTAGTTTTTCAATCCAGACCAAATTTCCAGTCCAATCAAGAAATTGATGAAACATACCCTAGTTTGGTCCAGTTATTATAGTTTCGAGTTAGCTTTTAGTTTTAAGTAACGTTTAGCGTTCGAACTTGTTTAGATTTTTTTTCTCATTACAATTTTTATTTTGCTTAGTTATTCACTTATAAGTAAATTTTTTAAACTTAACCAAAAACACACTTGATAAAAAATGATATGGTGAAAAATGTACAAGTTAATTTGGCATGATGATATATGATAACTCAACAAGAAAGTGGATAGACCAATTGTTCCTTGATGAGAATGTATGGGACATATTCACTATGAAAAAAAGAGTAGATGAGATGTTTCGAATGATTAAAAAAGTGATTTGGCAAAATGAAGAAACCCTAGGAAAATTTGCATTCATATAGAATAAGGAAACCTATAATTCCATCAACTCTAATATTTTAATTCAAATTTCAGAGTAGGCAAGTGGGAGATTAAAGAGAAGGAAACAAACTATTTATAGAAATATTTTTCAAAAGTTTATTAAAAATTTAAAAGTTGACTGTCTCCAATTAATGAGTTATCCAGAAAAAAGAGGGAGTAATACTATTCGTAATCGCTCACTGCGGTAGTCGCCATACGTGACATACACATGACAGATGATTATTTGATACATTAATATGGTAGTTTTTTTATTCATTAATGCATCAAATAATCACCTGCCATGTGTATGTCACGTAGGGCGATTACCGCAATGAGCGACTGTAAATAGCATTATTCAAAAAGAGGACACTGATGATTTGATCATAGAAATTAAATGAAAATATTTTTCTAGACAGGAATCCCATAAAACTTCTAGGAATGAGCCAGGACACAGTTTAGTCAAGATTCAAGAACAATGGATTAAAAAAATAAAAACAGAGAGACTATTACTACCACTTCAGTCGAGAACCTATACGTTGATGATTCTCAATCTTTAAGGTGTCCATATATATATAGGAAAAGTTTTGGTGTACATAGGGGTGTCCACGCCCTTCATACGAGGTAGGATCCACCTCGCGCGGAGAAGATCCCACCCCATGTGAGGGGTGTGGACACCCCTATACCCTCATTTGGCCCCCATTAATTTTCATTCTATTACATTTTAATTTTTTCTTTTCTATTTTTAATCACAAAATCTTCTATAAAATAATATTACACTTAAATCGAAAACTTTTTCTTCTTTTTCAATCACTTATTTTTCAAAAAAACATTATTCCACTCATTTTCATTTCTACAAAATGGGGGGCCAAACGGAGGCAAAGTACATAAATTACGTACACCAAGCGCGCGCGTACACACACACGAAAGGAAATTAGCAAACATGAAAAATATAATTAAAGAATTTTTGAGGAAGATCTATAACAAGGGATGTGCTTAGACTGGAAGTTAACGCTACCCTCTGCACAACGAACCCAACATAGTTGGAATAGGTCGCCTCGTGGTCGTGGACCAGTCCACCTATAAAGGCAAGTGTAGATGAGCCAGAGTATCCAATCCCATGGCCCATACATGTCGTTGGGTGCGAGCCTCTATTTAAAAAAGGGAAAGAAATAAAAAACTCACTCTTCCCAACATATTAAGAGCTCAAAGTATCATTTTTTATTTTTTATTTTTGAAGAGAAAAACTAAATAATTACTTGGCTTAGTGGCCCTTCAACGTAATTCGACTCACCAAGCTCGCACGACTATGGACTTGCACGAAATCAAGGGTATAGACCTACCGAGGCAATACAAAAAGAAGAATAGTTTGTTAAAAAGTATGATCGAGGTCAAAAAAAAATTTCGAAGTGTTCGTTTTCAGAGACATTTATTTCTATTTTGATTGAAAGTGGCCCAATGAACACAATTCGTCGGCTTTGCCCATGATATATATCATGTTTCGGCCGAATTCTATCATTTAGGGCTTCGAAACCCCTTCTTTCATTATTCTTGATAAAAGTAGATTATGATTTTCATTATTTTAGAGTTTGATTTTATCTTTAATTCTTATCATTAGCTAGAGTTAGGCATTATCTAGAAGTATAGTTATTATTCAGATTTTATTTACTGTCTTGTGACAATTTGTTGAATTTCGAAATAATTAAGGAGTCCTGTAAAGTTTCTCAAATTATTGTCTCGTTCTAAGTATTTGATTCTTTCAAACCAAGAGTTCGAATTTTTGTGAGATTTTATTTTTTCCTATAACCTTCCGCTACGTTACCTGCCAATAAACCAATTCTTTCTTTCAACTTTAAATTGATTTTCAAATATTGAAACAAACAAGGATGGGAAGATTCAAAAAGAGAGTATATTTAGAAGATTGTGCCATTAGCAAACCGTACGGAAAGAGATCAAAATAAGAAAATGAGGGCCATTATAACTAGAAAGCAACTCCGCCAATTAAGCTTCACCAAGTAAAGGGTTTCCTAAAAGAGAAAATATACCATAAATCTTATGTCCATCGGCATTGAGAGTGTCAGTCTAACCCTTAAAAAATGTAATCTTTCTACTAAAGCTTAGGAAGAAAATCAAATGTGTTTGGGAAAGAAAACATATTTGGCTAAGTTTCAACTTCTAAATAATTTTACATTGATTTTAGGTAGAGATGTCAAAATTAAATAAGAGCTTTGGCAAGACTTCTGTCGTTGCTTCTACATCTAGCAGAAGAATTTCTTGAGTTAACTATTTTGAAAAGTGTTTGAAACTAATTGATGATTATTGTCTCTCATCTTATCATTTCCCTAAAGAAAGCAATTGGTAATCTTCCTCTCCATTATTCGGACAAATCCTTAAACTGGCATGATCATTCAAAGAGTAATGATATTGATGATCAGTGAATGTAACAGTTATCCTATATGACAACTTGTTATTTGAGACAACAGAATTACAAAAAACTAAGGCCTTAAATAACAAGATACGTCATATGATGACTATTGCAATGATTGACTATAAATATCATTATTCTTATTCAAATAGATGAAGAAATAGGCCACAAACTTCAAACACGATTTTTTCAGAATAATTATCTATTGGTGAGCCTGAATAAAACAATAGTTTGTAAATAATTGATCTGGTCATCGACTACATAATTTTGGGTCAATTTGTACAAAAATTGTGACTATTACCTAACATGTGTGATTGTAATTTGTACGTTGTGCGATTGTGACTCCCACTCACAAAACTGTAATAATTTATAGTATCAAGTATGAATGTATAGGGATGTGACACAAGACACGTATTTTTGAAAATTTGTCATCTCATGCAAAGATTATATTTATGTTGTGTGACTATGACCTGTATGATTATATGATTCTAATCTAAAAAACTAATTATACGTTATGTGAATGTGACATTCTACGTTTTGTGATTGTGACTTATTTAAGTTTATAGTTTCATGTCTCTTTGAATGACCTAAAACAAGTCTCTTTAAAAATCCTCACTTGATAGAATTGACTTGTTTTAAAGCATGAAGGCTCAAGGCTTTCATTTAGAACACGAGAATAAAAACATGGAATTCGATTGTTAATAATTTGATTTTCTCCCTCCAGATTTTGTAATTTTGAAATCTGTTAAAGATGGTAATTAACCTTTATATTTGAGATTTCTAATTAAACCTATATTACTTGATAATATAGTTTTACCCAAAATCCTACATATAAAATATACTATTCAACGATAAGGAGGATTAGTTTTAATTTCAAAAATCAGGCGCCCAACCCACTCCCATCCTTCCTACCCAAAACCACACCACCGACGCACGCCTCTCTGTCTTCTCTATTAATTACAAAAATCATTTCTCTCTTTAACCTTTCTCTCTCTGTATAAAGAAGAATTTCCCTCTCTATAACGTAATGAGGAATTTCTTACCCCATATAATGAACATATACATAATGAAGAAGAATTTCTCTCTCTAATTATTTATCCCTCTCGTTAGCAGCATTAACCAAATCTGTTTTTGTGGTCCTTCTCATTTGTATGGATCTAAATCGATGGGGTTGGCCGGGCCTACAACTATCGACTATTTCACTTAGATTGAATCGAAGGTGGGGAGTATGTTGGATTTAAGGTAGATGATGATTATTGCTGTGAATTTGAGGTGAATGTAGTATTTATGGTTATGGATTTGAGTTGAAGGTGGTAGTGGTGGTGTATTAGATGTGATGGGGGTGGTGACTGATGATGGATTGTGGCGTTGGTACGAGGAATGTGCAGATTTACTTGTGGAGATTCTCTATGACTAATTTTGCGGTGGTGTATTGGATGTGATGGGGGTGATGACTGATGGTGGAGTGTGGTGTTGGGCTGAGGAATGTGCAGATTTATTTGTTGTGATTCTGTGTTACTTATGATAGGATGTGATTAAATTTGTGCTAATTTTGATGTGTTGTGTATGTAGACCAAATTAACAGTGACT